GATACGAGTCTTGCTAATTAACCTATAGCTGTGGGGAGAAGAGGTAGATTCATACCTTTCCCATTCCCACGTTTGTCACTTTTACAACTAATTTGTAGTTTTGTGCATATATATATATATATATATATATATTTCATATGAATAGTTGGTGAAAAGTTTTCATCACTATCCACTTCGCAAAATCTGATAAAAAAAAATCCAGAATGTTGTGATCTTTTTCTTGCTCGTACCGAGACTTTTTACAATATTCCTAGTTTGGGCATGTTGTCAGTTAATATAACGAACCTAACCTGAATTGAAACTTAGCCCTCCAATTAAAAGATTGTATTTATATTTCTGTGATGAGGTAATATGTACACTACATTATTCGGACTATTTTTCTCATCTTTGTCGCCATATTTATTACAACGTTTCGGCCGCTGTACACCCCGGCCGTCTTCAGTGGCTGGAATGTCGAATTTTACCCATTATTTCGCACAATGGGGTAGACTGTTCTAGTTCCACATGCCATGTCTAATGGATATCAGTTACCTCCTGTTAATTCCCCTCTCCAAGTTCTCCACCGCCTTAACCGAGTATTGAACTCACACTCTTTCTCACTGGATCTAACTAACGCGTTTATCCACTGTGCCATGTGTCCTCGAGGACATATTAGTCGATTTTCGTGCCAGTTTCTGGTAGGATTTTGTGAATTTGTCTCCATATTTCTGGTGTATCGGGTCCGTACCGATCCTTCAGTATCGGTCTACATTATTCGGACTATTGCCTTAATCTTTCTTTCCATATTTATTACGAAGTTTCGGCCGTTGTACGATCCGTCTTTCTTCAGGTGGGAGGAATGTCGAACTGATCCCTTTATTTCGCTCACCGTTTAAGGCGTTGGAGAAGGGAATTAACAGGAGATAACTGATAACTTACATCCATTAGACATGGCATGTGGAACTAGAACAGTCTATCCCAGTAAGCAAAATAAAGGGTTCCGTTCGACATTCCATCCACCTGAAGAAGGCCGGTGCGTACAACGGCCGAAACGTTGTAATAAATATGGCGACAAAGATGACAATAGTCCGAATAATGTAAATAGTGTAAAAAAAAAAAAAAAAAAAAAAAAAGTGTCATTATCCATTACACTACACGCACATTACAGTACCTTACAGTACAGCTTACAGTACCCGATTTTCCAAAGCGATCACCCATGTAGGTACTAAGACTCACTTAAAGGTGAGGGTTACCAAGTAAGATTATAAGAGAGGGGGAAGTGGGAAGTAATATTATAAGGACGAGTATGATAAATATAAGTTAACTCTAGACTTAAAGAGACCAAGTTTGTAGTTGTCAGGTAAGTATTCTCGCGGGAGTTTGTTTAACAAAGTAGCAGTTCTGGGGGAAAAAGCTTTCTCAGTGGAACTTTCTTTTTATCAACGAAACACGACGGGAATGGTGACGATATGCCACCGTGAACACGGCATGGTGAATCCTATCTGTTAAGGTAGAATTTGTTGACCATATGGAATGTAACTTGTTCGAACGTCTGCCAGAGAAATAGTGATATAGTAGTGAAAGGCTGGCGATAAGTATTGCTGGGTGGATAATAATTCATCACCCACAAGGCCGCGTAAGCAATTTTGAATTCTGTCAAGGCTGGACAGTGAAGATTGGGCAGGTCTCGCCTAGATATAGCAACAAGACTCCATTCCTGCTTTGACCTCTTACAAAGAGAGCATGACAGCAGGAGATAGGTATTTTCTTGTCCGAACTATCTTTAATGGTAAATGTTTTCTTTTTCGACCGTCCAAACTCTTTTATACTCTTGATATTGTTTCAGCAACGTTCTTCAAGGAAAAAAGGGATAGATGTTTTATTTTGCCATTTTCAGGAAAAAGTTGTTTTTTTTATTAACTTAAAGACTAAATTGTCCATGCATACGCACACATGATTATGCTGACGAATTTTGGAAGCATACTGCTTCCCTTCATAATTATTACTAATCTACGCTTAGTTATTACTGGAAGTGGTTATTGCTCCTGCTTGGGTCTGAACAGCTGTCTCAGTATATCTCATGCCTAGCGACACAGGTCTGAGTACTCACGATACAGACTATCAGGATTAAAAAAAAAAAATACACCTCTTTGTAAAAGCAGTAAATTTCCTCTCATGTTTTCGCTTATCTTCATTTTCTGGTTAAAATCTGTGTGAAGTTTGTGTTTTTGCAAGAAACCAGAATAATTTAGAAGACACTGATTATCGCGACTAAACGGATAGGAAAATGGTGACGCAGAATACATTAATAAAACTATTACAGACAAAAAATAAATACATCGGAACTAGGTCTGTCAAGGTGAAAATTGACAAAGCGCAGAAAAAAAAAACCGTTGTCTTTGTGGAGAAGATATCTGGAACTATAAAGCATATCACAGAACGCTGGCAACGAGTCCAAAGCGAATTAAAATGCAGACGCGAAGAGTAGGAAAAATGATAAACTGGAAATCAGAGTAGACAAAAAATTACAAGCACAAGAATAGGTCTCTCTGATTAAAGGAGACAAATACACTAGAGATCCATAAAAAAGAAACAGAAAAAAGAGACAAAGGCCTAAAATATTGTCAAAGATATCCTGTCATCTAGGAGATGCAGTTGTTCCTACGCGCTGCAATTCGAAAATTTGGGGAAAAATACCAGGACTTTGCTCGAGAATTGAAGAAACATTGGGATTATACTGATTGGCTCATTGGGAATCGTGTAAAGATCCCGAGAAGCAAGACTGGAGGAATCAGAAATAACGACTAAGCATGTCCATTCTTCAGCTGTTACAGGGTTCGGCGAATATACTAAAATATACGGAAGATTGTAGGAATAGCTGTTGGTTTCGAAAACGACCTCCACTCTCTGGTTGACTAGGGTAGGAAATGGCTTGTGAATTTTAATGCATCCAAAACGAAACTGCTGTCATTTACTCAAAGAGAAACGTCCCTGTCTCCTATCAGCATGGTTGATGATCAACTCCACGAGAGCGCCTCATTGTCCCTTCTTGGTATCACGTTTTCCACTGAACTGATGTGGAACAACTACATTGAATCAATAGATGCATCTACCGCAAGGAAAGTTGGTTCTCTGTGTCACACCAAAAGGTTTTTCCTCTTCTAAATCAATCCTTCACGTCTACAAATCTACCATTTGTTCATGCATGGAATACTGTTGCCATACAGGATCTGGTACACCCGCTGTTTATCTCGAGGTTCTAGACAAAATCCAAAGAGGAATATGCAGTGTGATCGGTTCTAACATAGGATCTCGACTCCAGTCACTTTCTCACCGACGTAATGTGGCTTCTCTCTGTCTTTTCTACAAACATTTTCATAGCATCTGCTCTGACGAGCTATTTTCACTGCTGCCCCGACTGCATGAATTTAAGCGTGCTTCTAGGTTGGCATCTCAGTCCAACCCTTTTACTGTCAAAAAGTTAAATGTAACCGACTCTTCTACTCCAACAGCTTCTTCTCTCGCGCCTCCCGACAGTGAAGCTCCCTTCCTCTTACTTGCTTCCCTGATAACTATAAGCTTCAAAAATTCAAATAATATCAATCGGCATCTTCTGATGCCTTATCCATGTTCTTTTTATCCTTTCTTCAACTCTGTCCCCGCTATATTCAGTCTTTTCTCTTACTTTCAGTCACTGTAACCCCTTGCGTACCAGTGGCACTCCCGCCTTGCTTGGGATGAATTGTTTTAAAAAGTTGCCGTTACTCAACCCTAACAGTGGAAACAGATCACAAGCCACTGCTGATAGTTCTAAAAAGAAATATCTAGATGAATTGACTCCTAGGATGCAGCTGTTTTGAATGAGACAAGTGAGGTTCTCATACGATATCATTTACATAACAGGAAAAGAACTAGTAACAGCTGACATTTCATCTCGGGATCCTACTTGTAAATTCAACTAATCAGGATATACAGAACGAATCTGAAAGACTCGTTTCTTAATTCGGTAATTAATCAATGTCTGGAAGAAATCAGAATAAAACAAGTGTTAATTGCTATATGTGATAAAGAGAAGACATGTGGGATCAATAGGTTACGAATACATTTCATGGAAAGTCCCAAATCCCTAGCGGAGACACCAGATATGACGCAGACAGAAAGGTAGAGGATGAAATGTACCCACTTTTTAAAGCAAGGATCCATATTTCCAAAACAGAATTAGCCATTTCTTTCTGTTCAATGAAACAAAGGTAACGCTGAGACTTATCCCCGGGTTATTAAAGAAATTCGTGATGACGTAGAAACGAGACTAGGCAGATCCAGTAGAGTAGCAGTAGTAAAAAGAATAAAACAGAGCATCTTCTTCGCTCCGTGAAAATCCACAGTTGACGGTTTCAAATGCTACCTTAAACGACAAAATTCTCAGAACAAGCAAAAACAAGTAAGCACAAGCTTTTAAAGAAAGGGAATAACACTGAGAACATTTTTAACATACACAATAGTAGAATTCTAATTAACATCACAAAAAGAAAAATACACATTCTTGTCATTAATTTCAACGTGTGTCTCAAAGTGTCTTGGTATAGTACGTTTTTATTCATTTCGTTTTTAGTTAAAAAAAAAAAAGAAAAGAAAAAAAAAAGAGGATTGCTCTCAAGTACAAATAAATATATCAGGGTAACTTACATTAGCACACCTCAACACATACTTGAGATAAGTACGTAGATGCTGATAAATATAGTTTACTACATATCTACTTTCACATTTCTGGACTGTTTCTAATGGAAACAAAAGGCTTATCGGGCTTATGTGACAATTTTAACATCCTGCTTAACACTTAAGTGAGTGTAAAAAAAAAAAAAAAAAAAAAAAAAAATCACCGGGAGAAAAATAAGTGAAAAGATTTGATAAAGACTGTGAAAAGCAAATATCAAAACATGAAAAGCGGATAATATAAGGTTCTGAATTGTAGGATTTGGGTCTTTATATTAATGAACACAGAATAGAGAAAAAGAGAGTGATCAATAAGAAGGAGCGGGGGAAGAGGGGACAAACGAGAAAAAAGAAGGGTGGACACATACGCACACACGCATGAGAGAGAGAGTGGACACATACGCACACACGCATGAGAGAGAGAGTGGACACATACGCACACACGCATGAGAGAGAGAGTGGACACATACGCACACACGCATGAGAGAGAGAGTGGACACATACGCACACACGCATGAGAGAGAGAGTGGACACATACGCACACACGCATGAGAGAGAGAGGGACACATACGCACACACGCATGAGAGAGAGAGTGGACACATACGCACACACGCATGAGAGAGAGAGTGGACACATACGCACACACGCATGAGAGAGAGAGGGACACATACGCACACACGCATGAGAGAGAGAGTGGACACATACGCACACACGCATGAGAGAGAGAGAGGGACACATACGCACACACGCATGAGAGAGAGAGGGACACACGCACACACGCATGAGAGAGAGAGTGGACACATACACACACACGCATGAGAGAGAGAGTGGACACATACGCACACACGCATGAGAGAGAGAGTGGACACATACGCACACACGCATGAGAGAGAGAGTGGACACATACGCACACACGCATGAGAGAGAGTGGACACATACGCACACACGCATGAGAGAGAGAGGACACATACGCACACACGCATGAGAGAGAGAGGACACACACGCACACACGCATGAGAGAGAGAGTGGACACATACGCACACACGCATGAGAGAGAGAGTGGACACATACGCACACACCAGAGAGAGAGAGAGAGAGAGTGGACACATACGCACACACCAGAGAGAGAGAGAGAGAGAGTGGACAGACACGCACACACCAGAGAGAGAGAGAGAGAGAGGGACAGACACGCACACACCAGAGAGAGAGAGAGAGAGAGAGAGAGGACAGACACGCACACACCAGAGAGAGAGAGAGAGAGAGAGAGTGGACAGACACGCACACACCAGAGAGAGAGAGAGAGAGAGTGGACAGACACGCACACACCAGAGAGAGAGAGAGAGAGTGGACAGACACGCACAGACCAGAGAGAGAGAGAGAGAGAGAGGACAGACACACACACACCAGAGAGAGAGAGAGAGAGGACAGACACGCACACACCAGAGAGAGAGAGAGAGAGTGGACAGACACGCACACACCAGAGAGAGAGAGAGAGAGAGAGAGGACAGACACGCACACACCAGAGAGAGAGAGAGAGAGAGTGGACAGACACGCACACACCAGAGAGAGAGAGATAGAGAGAGTGGACAGACACGCACACACCAGAGAGAGAGAGAGAGAGAGAGTGGACAGACACGCACACACCAGAGAGAGAGAGAGAGAGAGAGAGAGAGAGAGAGTGGACAGACACGCACACACCAGAGAGAGAGAGAGAGAGAGAGAGAGAGAGAGAGGGACAGACACGCACACACACCAGAGAGAGAGAGAGAGAGAGAGAGAGATAGAGAGAGTGGACAGACACGCACACACCAGAGAGAGAGAGAGAGAGAGAGAGAGAGAGAGAGATAGAGAGAGTGGACAGACACGCACACACCAGAGAGAGAGAGAGAGAGAGAGAGAGATAGAGAGAGTGGACAGACACGCACACACCAGAGAGAGAGAGAGAGAGAGAGAGAGAGAGAGAGAGAGAGAGAGTGGACAGACACGCACACACCAGAGAGAGAGAGAGAGAGAGAGAGAGAGAGAGAGAGAGGGACAGACACGCACACACCAGAGAGAGAGAGAGAGAGAGAGAGAGAGAGAGAGAGTGGACAGACACGCACACCAGAGAGAGAGAGAGAGAGAGAGAGAGAGAGTGGACAGACACGCACACACCAGAGAGAGAGAGAGAGAGATAGAGAGAGGGACAGACACGCACACACCAGAGAGAGAGAGAGAGACAGAGACAGACACGCACACACCAGAGAGAAAGAGATAGAAGGGGCAACATATGAGAGAGAGGTAAACAGAAGGAGGGGGATATATGAGAGAGAGGTAGAGGGGGATATATGAGAGAGAGGTAGAGGGGATATATGAGAGAGAGGTAGAGGGGGATATGAGAGAGAGAGAGAGAGGGGGATATAAGGGAGAGAGGTAGAGGGGGATATATGAGAGAGAGGGTGGGGGATATAGGAGAGAGAGGTAGAGGGGATATATGAGAGAGAGGTAGAGGGGGATATGAGAGAGAGAGGTAGAGGGGGATATATGAGAGAGAGGTAGAGGGGGATATATGAGGTAGAGGTAGAGGGGATATATGAGGTAGAGGTAGGGGGGATATATGAGGTAGGGGGGGGGATGGATGAGGGGGACATATGAGAGAGAGGGGGACATGTGAGAGAGAGGGGACATATGAGAGAGAGGGGGATATATGAGAGAGGGGGGACATATGAGAGAGAGGGGACATATGAGAGAGAGGGGGACATATGAGAGAGAGGGGGACATGATAGAGAAAAAATGGAGAAACTGGGAAGTGAGAGCTGGGTGAGCAAGGGAGAGAGAGAGAGAGAGAGAGAGAGAGAGAAATTAGCACGGTCGGAGATACGAACAAAGGAATAGAGAGAGAGCGGGCACAGAATGAAAGAGCAGGAGAGAGAAATAAACAAGGGAAGAAAGATAGGAGAGAAGATGAAGACTGGAATGAAGGAATCAGATTTAAAAAAAAGGCTACTAAGAGGAGAAATAAGAAAAATATAAAACTTAATATAATTAAAAAAAATAAAATCATTTCTTTCTTTTTATGAAATAAAAATGTCAGACGTGACCTAATGAAGCAAGGGAGGTAACCAAGTGTCTAACAAGGGCGATTATCTTTCAAAACAATGTCATTTTTGTTTTGCGATTAACCGACATTACTATATACCGGTCAATTTAATTTTTTATTTTTATGTAAATTCTGACATTTAGAAAGTAATTCACACATTAACACCAAAAAACTACACCTTTTTGCAAAGTATGAGTTCCGTGATTTCTGACATTCTAATGGAGCTATGATCAGATAAGTGTAAGGCAGAAACATTATTTAAGAATGAAAATATCGTTAAATTTTGAAGATGTATTTTTAGCGGCTACAGATGGACATTTTTTAGATTTTTACTGTAAAATTTATGATTAATAGATAAAAAAAGTGTCAATTTGACAGATTAGTTCAGGTATTTTAACGGAATGCTGGATAAATTAATTTTCACCTAGAGACCAATGTCGATTATAAAATGAAAAAAAAAAAAAAAAAAAGACTGATTTTTTTTTTAGTAACATCTTAATTTCTCAATCTAACGACACACTTCTATTTTCAAATTCGAAATTAATGCAGTGAAGGAAAGGGGAAATCACTTCATTACCTTTCCGCATTGTAATTTACTGAAATTAAAAAAGAGTAGCGAGCTTTTGGGGAACATTTATCGTCTATGTAATGAAAGGGTTATAAGCAAAATAAATTTTACTATTTTCCTAATATTTCCCTAAATCTGAATAAATAAGTATTTTTAATGGTGTTTGTCGGGCCGAGAAGTTTACATACCCAAAATTCAGCCGTTTCATCACATTTTACTTTATATAACATCATCTTATATACCAACTAATGATTATATATAAGACGTTACTATAGGAAATGTGAAGAAACGGTTGAATTTGTTTTGAAAATCAACTATACGCCAATTTTTGTCTGCAATATATTTCTCAATACAAAAATTATCTCCCATGTACTAGCGATGAATTAGTTTTAAGGACTGGCTTCATTGAAAATTCATAAAAGGCGTTTGTTTCTCAAATATCTCTCGAATAGATGCTAGAATAGATGCTATTGATCACCATTTTATAGCGGAAGCAATTAAGACTTTTTGTTGATGCGGATGAAGACCTGAAACGGTTGAAAGGATATGTAGGCCCACGAACAGTTATTGAATGAATGAACACAAAAACAAAACGAAGACTTAAAATTATATATATATATATATATATATATATATATATATAGTTTATGAAAAACTAGCTAATCCGTATGGGTAAACCTAAGGAGGATAAAATCCAGAGAAAATAATTTAAATAAAAACATACCGCTTTAAGGTTCCATGTAATAAATTATTTCACCACAGCCCTTTTAAAAGGACTGCGGATCATCAGACTTTACTTTCAGATTTATATATATATATATATATATATATATATATATATATATATATATATATATATATATATATATATATATATATATATATATATATATATATATATATATATATATATTATATATATATATATATATATTATATATATATATATATATATATATATATATATATATATATATATATATATATATATATATATATATATATATATATATATATTTATATATATATATATATATATATATATATATATAAAGTTTCACATGGGCTTTATGTTGCCAAGTCTACACATGCGACGATACGAGAAACGCAGATAGTTTCAAAATTTTATTGGAAAGGATATTTTTGAAAGAACATTTGGTTCAATCTAAGCAAATTCATCGGTTTTCCTTTTCTTGTCCATCACCTTTTTCCCCTATCTCACACTGTGAAAATACAAAATCTATCAAGAATGGGAATATATTGTAAGAGCTAGGACGCAAATTTACCGTAGCTGAACTACCAAGCAAGGCACTTTCCAGACATTTTCGTCTCAGAGGATTATTTTAGATATCTTCACTATTTTGGCATAAATTTCCGATACCTAAAGATTAAAATGAATTTTTAAAAATGAAAAAAAAACATTCTTGAAGATTTCATTTTAGCTTTAATTGAAAGTTAAATGATTGAATTTATTATCTCCAGTAAGTAAAACATCCTGGTGTATTTCAGAGAGAAATTATATAGAATGAAATGTCAAATTTCGATTTCTTCAAATTTTCTGAAAAGCGTCAATTTTCTTGATTTTAAGAAATTTGTAAACAAAGAGTATTTATCGATTTTAAAATTCTTTCAAAAATACCTATATATACTTCTGATATTTGTGAAAAATTAGAAAAAATAAACTAAAATTTATCTGATTGGAAATAAATATTAATTATACCATAAAAAGTAATATACAACCATTTATTTAATGCTTGGTCTTGCTTATCATAGCTTATCTGAGACGAGAATGGATGGACGATGAATGACGAATATATATTTATATCCACCTAAATATGCACGCACCTCTATATCCTAACGATGCACGCATTTCTCTCTATATATATATCCATGTAAATATACACGCACTTCTTTCTATGTATATATCCATCTAAATATACACGCAGTCGTGGAATTAATGTAGGTACCTCCACAATATCGCTAATAAAAGAGCATAGCATGACGAAAAAGACGCCAAACTTGACCAAAACAAAATTTTATCGTCTAAATGTTTGTTATTATGAATAAGAAAGGCCCAAGTTTACTTTAATTTTTAATATTTTACCTTATTTTTAGAACATTCTAAATTTTGATTTAAAACATTGTTTCTCTTTGTATCACCGGAACTAGTAAAATAACACATTCATTTTTTAGAACGTTTTGTTTTGTATGACATTAATTTGCAAATTCTTGCAAAAATAAAAATAATTGTCTGATGTTAATGAAACTTTCAGAAACTATTCACAGATGATGGAAATTATTATAAATGTTTATTTTATTAAAGACATGGCAGAAATATTTTTTTTATATTTATTACCCCTCTCCATAACTAATTTTATGAAAACTCTAGAAATTCGATCTAGTCCACGTTAGTGATTACAATGGTTAAAAGTACAAGGCTTTGAGGAATGCAAATCATGCTTTTTTTGTTTTTAATTTTAATTTTTAAAAGAATGCTCAATACAGAGTAAAGCAAATGTAATTTATTCGAAAATTATAGCATAAATACGTTATAAAGTAGGTACCTCCACGAGATCGCTAAAAAAAAGAGTATAGCATGATGAAAAAGACGCCAAACTTGACGAAAACAAAATTTTATCGTCTAAATGTTTTGTTTTTAAGAGGAAAGATCAAAGTATTTTGGGGGTATTTTTTTCCATTTTGTAATTGTTCCTAGCACGTCCGAAATTTTCGTTAATCTTTTTTTTTTTTTTGAGTCAGCAAAATTGACCATTTTTTTCATTTTATAAAAAAAATGGAAATCTCATTTTGAAATTCTTTTAAATATCAATTATTTTTTCAAAACTTATTTTAAGAAAATCAGAAATTATGTTTATTTAAAATATTTTGAACTAAGCTTAACTTAGCTTTTGCGCCGAAAAGATGTAATTTGAAAATAAAACAAAGCCGGTCATAAACTTTCGCGTCACTTGACAGGTGATGAATGATATATTGACGGATTCCGTAAGGCTAATTTGTTCTACGGAAGGAGAAAAGTGTAATAATTTACATTTAAGTGAACAAATTATTTACCTCGTTATTTTTAAGGAAAACTTTCAGCGCTCTATTTTTTTTTGTACTTAGCTTTCACCTTTACGTTTATGATCCTTTATGGAAAATATATTCTAAAAAAAATTAAAATAAGACTTAACAGTGACATTAAATTTCATAAGAAAGGTTTCTAATTTATAGGTACCTTTCTTATAAAATTTTATCAGAAGTGTACACAAAATATAATTTTATGTACATTTATTATATTTTACTGTGTTATTTGTATTTCCATTCATTTTATTATTAATTTTGATATTTCATTTATGGAAAAATGTCATAACTGAGATTAATATAAAAATAAGATCATACATTTCATAAGATGATACTGATACTTGTAGGTACCCTTCTCAGTTGAAATTGAAAAATCAAATTAACTTCTCCACACGGAGAGCAATGCTTAACTTAAATAACACAATTGTATTCTGGCTGGTTTTCCGTACTTTATAATTACAGCCCGATTATAAACACAAAATTACATTTCTTAATTACTGCGGATCTTCTGATTAGTCAAAATGATACAATTTACAACGCG